TTTTCAAAACAGGAAAATATTGATAAGTACATCAATTTAAAAATGCGGCTAACTTAAAGGTAAATATATCTGTCTGTTACTTTAAAACAATATTTAATTTGTAGCAACCCAAAGAAATTTTTCCACAATAATTTTAGTTGTTTTGTATTTTTAAGTCCACACACTGATGTTTTTGTTATTTTTTACACTGATAATATGGGACAGTACATGTTTTTGTTTTGTAAAACAAAGAAAACCTGTGGTTTATTAAAAAAAAAATTACTGAATAACAAAAATGTTGTTCTTACAAGCATTTGAAAACAAACCACAAAATTAACAATTTCGGCTACTTAATGTATTTGGGGTTCTAAACTTGTGCATGTAATTAAGTACACAACGCTGGATTTGTTTTCAATTTTAAAATAAAAAACTAATTGAAACAACATTTTTTAGTACTCAACTCATAGATTTGAGGTTTTTGCTATGTAAAAATGCCTCTGATTTAAGAGGAAAATATTTAGCTAACATAAAGTTTGTTGTCTGAATTTAATTTTGTTAGATGTTGTCATAACTTCAATATATTAATGCAAACTGTTGCGTTATTTATTTTTTTGGTTTGTCTAAACAATATTTTTTTTAGAGTGTAATATCTCTCAATCCATTGAATAAAAAAAGGAAAAAGTATTAATAAGAAGATTATTATTACTTAGAATCACTGTCGTGTAATTTAATTAGAAATTAGGCTATGAATATTTTGCTTGGAGTTAAGTGAAACAAACATAAGCATGTTAATTTGTTGTATGCAAATGTCCTACTTCTGTTGCTCTTTAGGTTTATCGTATGATGCCCTCTGGTGGATGTCTAATGTTAGACACTCATAAATACATTTTAGAGCAATAACATAATACAGCTTTTTCATATTACACCGTGTCCTGTTAACTTGGGATTATTATATATTTTATTATGATTTACTGAAGACACCCACTAAAATGTAATGTGTGCAGCAGCAAAATGATAATTAATTGTGGTTTTTAATCTGTATAGTTTAATATTTTCCTACAAAACAGTTTTATATGTCAGCAGAAAGTTTTTTATAATTATAATTATAACAATAACCAGTTTTTAGTCATCTCCATAAATAATTTCTTTTTCAAATTTAATAGTACTTCTTATTTTTAAAATATACTATTAATTTTATTTTATTTGGCATAAATACAGTGTGTTTGTGTAAAGAAAATGACAAATATATTTATGACGGCTCAATCGTATTATTTGTAGAACATGATGCCTTTGTAGATATCATATGGCTATTATAATGACAAATTCTGCAAAAAAGAGATAGTTCACCCAAAGATGACCTCGCAAATTATTTCCCCTCCTGTTGTTTTAAATCTTTAAAGGTTCCTTTCTTCTGTTGAACACAAAATAAGATACTTTGAAGAATGCTGGTTGTTGGCACCCATTGACTATAGAAGAGGGAAAAATACTAATAAAGTCAATTAGGTTTACATGGACACCAATAATCCAATTAAGACAATACTCTGATTAAGAGTAGACCATGTAAACAGCGATTTTTGATTAATTAAATCCGATTAAGGTCATAATCGAACCAAACAGAAATCTAATTAAGACATGTGGAATATGCCGATTTTAGTCGCATTATTAAAGTGTTGTACAGACATGTAAACACAATAAAACTATTGCTGTCATTCATTTTCTTTCCGGCTTAATCCCTACATTAATCTGGGGTAGCCACAGCGTTATTAACCACCAACTTATCCAGCATATGTTTTTACACAGCGGATGCCCTTCCAGCCACAACCCATCATTATTGCCATCATGTACGATCATTTTGTGTCAGGATAGTCTATATATACGGTTGTTTGACACTATTCTCTGCACCTAAAAAGTCAGAGAAGGACCCCAGACACATGCATCGTGAATCGCAGAGGATTTTTTCCCCATACGGCGTGCGATATCAAATTCTATTAAAACAACACTCTTCCAGCAATTCATAGTTGCATTCAATGGAGGCAAACATGAAATATTTCCAAATGAAAGTGAAAGTGCCAAACTGCAGTCAAAGGCGACAAATTAAAAATGAAACACCTCAAATTACATGAAACTCCACAGAAAACTTGAATAGCTCGCTGACGCAATGAAATTAATCGAATTATGTGCTATGACATGTAAAACAGGATCTTGAAAAGAACATCTAAAAAGCAACTCATGTAAACACCTTAATCATATTATTGTCTTATTCAGATTAAGGCAAATAATTTCATTACCGATGTCCATGTAAACGTGCCACCAACCAGCATTCTTCAAAATATCTTCATTTGTGTTCAACATGGAAAAAAACTCAAGGCTTTGCTTTCATTTTTATATGTGAACTATCCCTCTAAATATGGCAGGCGTTTTAATCATTTTGGCCATTGTTGTACTGTATATCTGTTGACATTTATTTACAGCGTCTGTATATATTCTGACATTTTATTCTCACAAAAGCGTTTAAAATGTTAAAAGGGCAATACTATATGAATGTGACATTTTGCATTCCTTAATGACAGTGGAAATGTCTCGGTAAAAAATACATTGCTTACATTATCTGAATCATGGGTTCCCAAACTTTTCAATTCGCGACCCCCTAAATAACACTGCCAGTTACTGGCGACCCCAATATCCTCTGAGGGGGTAAAAAATATATAAAGCTTACACACAAGTGCAAACATCACAACAGGTCCAAGTCTTTATTTGTAGTTTAATTTTGGAGACTGCGACTCGGGGACCATCCTCCATGTTTAGTTGTGGCCTGAATTTATGTTTAATATACGCGAGTGCTGTAAAGGTTTCAGAAAGTTTAACCTGGTGCCAAAAAAATCAATCTGCTGCATTTGACGCTATTGTTGTGTCTTTAATATAATGTAATCACTCAGGGTTGCCAAAAAATCGAAAGGCTGATGACTCTTATTAGCTTTTTTTTTTTTTTTAACCATTAATGTTTTCCTTCTGTAGGTTAATTCTACTATTTTAATCACCAAGCGACCCTCACTCATTGTTCCGCGACCCCCCAGGGGGTCCCAATACCCACCTTGGGAACCACTTATTTAAATTGGTAATGAATATTTTAAGAGCACCCAATCAGATTCTAAAAGCCCCCTTTAAATATTGGCATGCGTCATAGATACAGTATGACAAAAATTAACAATACAATTAATTTTAAACTTTCAAGATAATGATGAACAGGTCTCCGCTAAAAACTAGTTTTTATGAAGACTACATGACACAAACATGTTCATAGATTTAATGAATCTTAGAAAAAAAATGTCTTTCTTTTTAAAATCATAAACATAAAATATAAAAAAATCATAAACATAAAATATAAAAAAATCATAAACATAAAATCGGTAACCATTGACTTGCATATATTAGTTTTTCCAATATAAGTCAATGGTTACCGGTTTTCAGCATTCTTCAAAATTTGTGTTCAACCGAATAAAGATACTCATGAGAGTTTGTTAACACTTGAGTGATATATTTTGATCAAATAAATGAATTAATTAAAAATACTGCTACTAATGATAATAAAAATAATTATTTTTAAAAACTGAAAGTTGATGACATGGTGTCTCAGTGGTTAACACTGTCGCCTCACAGCAAGAAGGTTGCTGGTTCGAGTCCCGGCAAGGTCAGTTGGCATTTCTGTGTGGAGTTTGCATGTTCTCCCGTGTTTGCATGGGTTTCCTCTGGGGTGCTACGGTTTCCCTCACATGCCAAAGACATGCGCTATAGGTTAATTGAATAAACTAGTAGGCTGTAGTAGTGTATATGTGTGAGTGTGGATGTTTCCCATTACTGGATTCAGCTGGAAAAGTATCTGCTGTGTAAAGCATATGCTGAATAAGTAGTTGGTTCATTCCACTGTGGCGACCCCTGAAGAATGAAAGGTCTAAGCCGAAGGGTAATGAATTAATGACAAACGGAAAAGGACAGCATTGAATAAAATACAGAGAGACTTAGAAACACAAAACAAAGCTTCCTGCAGAGAACGTGGTAATATTGCAAACGTTACAGGGGGTCAAAGTGCACAAACATGATGTGAATGGAAGGAAACCTTACTGCAACCTTAGCATACATTTCAGGTTCACAATTCAACACCACACTTACTGTAGTAAATAAACCATGGCCAAGAGCTGTGGTCTGACAATGAGGAAAGAAAACTCTCTGGCCACAAACGTGCTTGAAGAAAAGGAAAAAATGTAGGTATTAAAGAACTGGTTTAACTCTATCAGACTGAAAAATGCTCAAAATACACATTTAGTACCATAACATTTTACCACGGTCGACAAATGGCCTATGAATGGGTCTCTGAATGTTTAAAAATATTACTCGAGTTCGCCAAATTAGGCGCGAAGAAGCATGTAAACATTCACAAGCTAACATGCGTCAGCTTAGCGAGTATCGAGAGAACATCACAAGTAAAACAGAGTAGAATTTAATAATGGTTAACTTACATTTCAGTCACAGTATTGCTGCAAGATACTTTGGTTTTGGTCCACAGCGTCAACGAAAATAGTTATAAACGAAACCGCAGCAGAACCATGTTTCATTCGACAGAGTCAACAAATGGGGTTTTCTGAAATAGTGCCTGAATGATTCATGGATTTACTCATTGAATTATCTTAGGGACAGACATAATTCTGCGGATTTATGCGGAATGATTTTAGGAGTATAACTAAAAACTTAATTTATGAAATAAAAACAATACATTTTAACTTTTATTATTTTTAATTTTCAATGCAAATCCAATTAGATCCACTTAATTGGTAAACCTAAGTCACTAATATTATATATCTACTAAAAGACAGAAAAGATTACTTTACAAATAAATAAATCATATGAACCTTTTAATATCACTATTATTATATCACAATAATATTGGTGAAATAAATTTAAAAACTGAATAAATATAAATACTCAAGTAAAACACATAGACTCAATGATTCAAGAATGAAACAGGCTATATTTACAAGCTACATTTAATTATTATTATGTGTTAGCTTTCACAGCCTTCTTAATAATATAACATGGATGCATGGATTGTTGATCCTTGTCAAAGTCAAATTGCTTAACGAAAATACACTTTTCTCTGTAACTGGCACCATGTCGGTTCTAAAAAACCGTTACTGCCAATGAATCATCACTGTTTTGCTTTGTTTGTTTTAGCTCAGACGAGATTCTGTTCAAACACGTTACGATTTGCTATCAATCCAAATCACCCACAGCCTGTAGATGTTAAGCATCACTACCAGAAAGTTTTTAAGGGTAAAAAACACCAGCATCTGATGAAAGTTGGAAAAAACCATCATAACTGTAAGTCGGACAACAAAGAAAGGCCCGTCCTGAAGAAATAGACTTCCACCAATGTTCCATATATCCGTCCTGTACCTTGAGTACAGCGAGCCATCCTGGCTTACAGAAACATCTTCTGCTCTGGTGTTCACCACTAATGCAAATGAACAAATACAGCATTATAACACTTATGATTATACTTTAGATTCTGCTTAAACGTCAAAATTAATAAATCATATTTTTGGCCATTAAACAACAACTGTGGAGGGATATACAGACCTGAGAAATGCAGTGGAAACTGTAGCATGCTCAATGTCCAGACCACAAGAATAACACACACAAATGACAGACTCTCCTCGCTATAAAAAATAAAAACACCACAGAATTAAACTTTGTGTGGTTTATTCATAAACTAATTTCGAGAGGATCACGTGCTTATGATCAACACGGCTGGCTCCTTGTTAGCTCCGTAATCAGCCCTATTAGATGATTACGGAAGCATTATAAATAACCTGAGTTTTCCACTCCAGTTATCTTCGTCTTGAAGCTCCCCCCCTTCCACCCCTACATCCTCCCACTTTTTCTGATCGGGCGACACGGTGGCCCAGTGGCTAGCACTGTTGCCTCACAGCAAGAACACCGCTAGTCCAACCCATCGGGCTGGTTGGTGTTTCTGTGTGGAGTTTGCATGTTCTCCCCGTGTTCGCGTGGGTTTTCCCCGGGTTCCCCGGTTTCCTCCCACCGTCCAAAAACATAAACCATAGCAATCGACTAAAACAAATTATCACCCAATACAACCTGAGTTTACACTTCTCACGGTGACCAGCAGGGGAGTTCTCGAGACCTACCTGACCTCGAATTCCCCTCTCGCCCTTCTAACGGGAGGGAGCCCCGGGCTCGAAGATATTACGAGCTCAGGGCTCTCTCCCGGGACAGCATGCCAAATACGCTTTATTGATTATCAGCTAAGTGTGAACTCTTGAATACGATTAAGGCAGATTTTTGCACTGAAAAACCCTGTAAGTTAAGGTAACTCAAACCATTTAAGGAAACAGATTGCAACAAACCATTTAAGTTCAAAAACTAATCCTAATGAGTGATTTGAACTTAATGCATTTAAGTAAAGGAAGCAATTTGAGCCCAGTAAAACCCAGTAAATGAAGAGAACTCAAACCAACAAAGTACTGTAAAACTCAATAAGTTAAGGCAACTCAAATCACTTGAGGAAACTGATTGCTACAAACTATTTGATTTAAACAACTAATCTATATGGGTACTGTGAACTTACTCCATTTACTGTAAGTTAACGTAATGAGGTATTTAATTAACACATTACCTTCAACACTGACTTCAAAACTCTTTTCAAATGAGTAGAATTAACTTTCAGTCAATTTTGAGTTAAGTACACTCATTTCATTTGATAAAGTTAAGAGTTGGGTTTTAGAGAGTAATACATTAAGATTGCACTGAAAAAAGTATTTAAAATTGTATAATATTAAAATGCATGTTTTTTTTTTAATATGGATATTTATAACACTACTGGTATGTTGTTTTATTTTAGCTTATCATGAAATTACATAAAGTATTTATGAAATACAGAAAGTCTCTAAGTGATTCTAATTCAATGGCTGAAGGAGCGATGATAGCATTATTTTTGCACCACTTAGATACTTTTTAATTATATTTTAATAATAATTCATGTTCTAATTTTTTATTTTATTTTACAAAGCTACTATATCAGAGAACTGAAACTTTTTCTTAACAAGGGACAAAAACCAAACTTGATTGAGGCTAGTCAGCCGAAGGTCAATATATTTGCCATGGGTAAATTCCCAATTTATTTAGAAAATGTTGCTTTATATTAACTATAACTAATACAGCATATTTTTTACATTTTATAGTGAAGTTATTACAGTAAAAACAAAAACAAATCTCAGGTATAACAGAATGGAGTTATACTAGTTTTTGCCTTGATTTGCTAACCAATGTCCTCTGCATAGTTCTCTATGCGTCAAGTGACATTAATAAAAAAATAAAAAATTGGTAGCTCAGCAATAAAACAAACAAACAAAAAAGCGTTATGCCAAATTAGAAATAACCTCTTTTAAAGGCATTCGTCCCAACCCTCTTCATCATTCTCACTCTCTTCTCAGATGGGATGGTGGGCCAAATCAAAAGTTACAATGGACCAACTTTGGCCCGCGGGCCCTACTTTGGGCATCTCTGTACTAGATGGAGCTGATACCTTAAAGGTTTTACTGTTTTTTTTTTTTTCAAGTCTAAATAGTTGTGATAATAATTATTATTTAAAATTTCTTAGCTTTATTTACTTTGACAGCTGGATAAAACTAAAATAAAATTGTCTCTATTTTATTTCAGTTAAGATTTAGTTTAATTTTAGGGAGCAAAATGGTTTCAGTTTTGTCAAATAGGGAATAGAGATCCACAACAACACTGAAAACAAAGATGAACACATAAGATATTTTGAAAAATGTTGGAAAGGATGGCCTCTCTGTATACACTGTAAAAAATACTGGGTTACATACAATTTCTTCATGTTGTCAACATAAATTGATTACGTTAAATTAAGTTCATTTTATTTACAAACTTAAGTGGATTGAACATAAAACAATCAAGTTGAGTGTAGTAGGAAGAAAAAATACAATGGAGATCAATGGCTATATTTCCATCATTCTTTAAAATAACTTCTTTTGTGTTAAAAAGAAGAAAGAAACTCGAAAACACTTTATTTTGATGGTCCATTTGAGTATTAGCAGACTGTCTGCTTAATAAGTGTTGATCCTGCTCCTTCAACAGACATTTAACTGACTATGAGAAACTTTGCAAATACTTGTCAACTTGCACTAACCCCAACCCTAATCCCAACCTAACAGTCTACTTATAATCTAATGAGAATTAGTTGGCACTTAGATACAATGTAACTTAAATTCAACAAACGGACCATCAAAATAAAGTGTGACCAGAAACTCAAACATGGTTTGGAACAAGTGGAGGAAGAGTAAATAATGATAATGATAGAGGGGGGTAAACTACTGTATCTCTTGTAAAAAAAAACAAAAAACAAGTCATTTCTTGTTGTCTACTTTTTTGTTGACAAGATCAATGGTATGTTTATGCATGCTCCCTTGGCCTCTCCTCCAAAACATCCATGAGAAAAGTTAAATAAATGCAGAGTATGCTGGCTTTCTCTTTTTTGATGTGTGGTCTCAATCAATACTTACTTCACATCAGACAGCGTTTCACTGATAAACTCGAGGATATCAGCAGCTGTGCCCACAAAGATGAGCAACAACTGGGACATTTCATCTCTCGTGACGCCTCCGGCGATCGGTAGCATCCATTTTCCCACTATTAGCAGAATCAGAACGATTTGTTGAAGAGCCAGGATCCAGTCATTGGCACAAACCGTTGACAGTAATTTCAGAGGATCCTAAAATACCACCACAAAGTGAATACATGAGCACACTGTTAACAATTTCCTGTAAAATCTACAGTAACTTACTGTAAATCAATTACAGCAGAAATAGTGTATTTAGATTTACAGAACCATTTATATTGCTGTAATACCTCTGATTCTGTATGTACTTCTGATTCTGATTATATGGATTAACGGAAATATATGTACATCTTTACTGTAAAATATACCATGATTTTCAAAATGCAACTTTTTTTTATACACCTTGTGTATTATTTAAATAGACAACCCTTTTGTTTACGTTGGGGATGTTTTTGCCCCATTGACTTCCATTATAATGACATTTTTGGACTACAAAATCATGACAGAATATAATCTGGCAGTCTTGATTGTTGGGGGGTTTACCTGTTGCGAAGAGGTAAAATGTGTCATTTGTACTGTTGATGATCAGTTGACACCATTATCCGGGAGAGAGCCCTAAGCATAGAAGATCCTCAAGCCCGGGGCTCCCTTCAGTTGATGGGTGAGAGGGGAGTTTGAGTTTAGGTAGGTCTTGAGAACTCCCCTGGATAAGTTATGACTTATGACAGATTAGGGATTGCTATGGAGAGAAATACTGCTGACTAAGAGCTCATCTATGTTGCTAATTTGGTTTAATCAATTCAAATGTTGCATGTCTGTGAACTGGAAGGAAACTGGGGAACCTGAGGGAAACCCATGCATGCACGAGGAGAACATGTAAATTTAGCATAGAAATGCCAACTGGCCTAGTAAGGCGTTGATCCAACAATGCTTATCACTGGGCTGCTGTGTCACCCTATCTAGGAAAAGAGAGGAGGAGTAGATGTGGAAGGGGGGATATCAGGAGGAAGGTGACTGAGGTATGAAAATTCTGGTTATTTATGGTGTATTAGGAATCATCTGATTGGTGAATCATGTCATCTAGCTATCTGCAACTCTCACATGGTCGCCCACTGGAGATAAGCAGGGTTGTGTCCAGTCAGTCCCTGGATGGGAGACCGCATGGGAAAACTAGGTTGCTGCCGAAAGTGGTGTTAGTGAGGCCAGCAGGGGGAACTCAAACTGTGGTCTTTGTGGGTCTAAATGCCCACATGTAGTAAAGGGGCCGTCTTTTGGATAAGGCATTAAACCGATGTCCTGACTCTCTGTGATCATTAAAATTCCCAGGATGTCCTTCAAAAAGAATAGGTAGGGGTTTACCCCGGCCTCTGTTCCTCATGGGCTCCGAACCAACCCCATATCATTACTGGCTTCATCACTCTGTCTTCTTTCCACCAATCAGCTGGTGTGTGGTGTGCAGTCTGGTGCCATATGGCTGCCGTTGCGTCCATCAGTATGTTTACTGTGTTCTGAGAGTCCTTATTTTGATTTTCTCAGACATATCTCTTACACTCTATCACACACTACTCCCTATAAAAGACAGAAACGTTTTGCACTGCAACTAACGATCAACAGAAAAAAAATATACAAATTTTACCTCTTTCCAACAAGGAAAAACACCAACAACGATGATGGTGTCATGGCTTTGCAATCAAAAAATGTAATTTTAATGGAAGTCAATGGGGCAAAAACAGCCACAACATAACAAATGGGAAGTAAATTTGCTCAGAGTGTATTGTTAAGGTTTTGTTTTTTAATAATCCCAAAATATGTGTCAAAATATGATTTGTCACCAAAAAGCATTCCACTTGCTGAAACACAGAAAATATTGTGGCCAAATTAGGACTAAAAATCCCCCCAGAGTGGATGAAAACATCCCCACTAACACACAAGGGTTCAGAATAAAAATTTACTATATTTAATACAATTTAATATTGTTTAAAATGGTAATATATTACTTTTGTTACCCAACACTAATTATGAGGAGTAGCTTACTGAAAGTACTCAGGTCAGACTTATGTAAATGACCTGTAAATATCATATGCAAAGGTGTGGCGACTTCTGAACACATGCTGTAACAGTTGTTCTCTATGAGAACCGTGAATGACCATGAACAGGTCTTGTTTGTATTAAGGGTTGAACCAACATTTATTTACAAGTCACCCATGCTAGTGCTTATGCTTTAAAGGGAAAAACTGAATAAATACACTGTCTGAAAGTGTATACTGTAGTCTAGACTTACATGGAAAAACATCAGTAATGCAAAAAAAATGATAGTATACCTGTGTATTCACAGATCCGTTGGTGGAATTTTTCCACTCGTGAAGAAAAGCTCTGATGTCTTCAGATGAATCCAGTTTAGTGCACTGTGCAATAAGCAAATTTTTGGTGTAAGAGTTTTAGGGTATAATGAAATTCATCTTGAGTTATAGCATTCACTGAATTGAGGTAAAGTTGGCTTTATATTCACACATTCCTTCATTTTTTAACAGTGAGAACTTGTGACATGATACTTTGAATGTTTGGTCTGAAATCGCATGCAAGTATGACTTCAAAACAACATAATTCAATTGACTGTGAACAATGTTGTAGTTTGCTAGTCCTTGGCTGCTAAATTAATATACCTAATAAGAATTTCCAAAGAATACATTTCTAAAATTACAGTAAGAAGGTGAAAGTCCAAACGTGCAAATATAAAACCAACTTCATCTCAATATACGCTGATGGGTTTTGTTAGTCTAACGTTTTCCCAGTATAGCATGAAATGTCTTTGCAAGATATTCAAAAGACTTATGTGCCATTGAGCATTACCTTAGTATCACTTGATTTGTTTTGCTCATGGTGCAACTCAAGGATCCATATGGTTGGTATGATGCTGATAAGGAAAAACAGTATTGCTGGAGAAAACCTAAAGATCAGAGTTAGAGTCACTGCATTGTTAATTTCACACATATATTTCAGGATGTTGACCCCAGAACAGTGTTTATTTGAAACCCTTATGCATGCAAAATAAATTAGAGAAGTCTACTTACCATTTGTAATCCTTCCCTTTTCTTCTTCTCAGAGTTAAAATCATTTCCACCACGAGAGGTAGATAAAGGATAGTCAGAAACCAGTATAAAGGATTGTTTTTCACCCATGTCACCCTCCACACACCGATGAGGGACACTAGGATAAACAGTGCCCTCGTGACTATAGCGCAGATAAATTTGACAAACATGCTTTCTTTTAAAATACTTTTTTAGGATAGGTTGTGTGAGAAAAGTAGAAGCTTTCAATTCTTTGCTCCTTGTGATTCTGAATCAAAAAGCACATTTTACCTTTTTCCCCTCCCACATTGTACACCAGTCGGGGCGGAGCTTTTGTTTTGAACTTGCTTTCTATGTCATGTCATGATGTGATCCACATGAGTTGCTAAAACAACATTTTTCAGATTATGCACTAGTTTAACAGTATTATTTTGTACAAACATAATTTTAGTTGCTATTAAACTAAATATATAATAAGCAAGCTAGTCTAATCAACAACTCTATAGCCCTGTGTGAGCGTTTGTTTTTATAAAGATTAAATTGTTAAATGTTGAAATATTGTAATAACTTCTACTGCAAATCATTGAATTTTCAGGAAGAACTTTTAATAGCTTTTAGATTTCAGTCATTTCAGCTAAACTTTTGCTTAACGCTTTTATGAAAACCAGAGAAAATTTTCTTTTCCACAAATAGTTTTTCTTTAAAGCAAAAAAAAAAAAAAAAGTTTTAGTTTCATTAAAATTCTCTTCGGGAAGCTATATATATATATATATATATATATATATATATATATATATATATATATATATATATATATATATATATATATATATATATATATATATATATATATATATATATATATATATATATATATATATATATATATATATATATATATATATATATATATATATATATATATATAAATAAAAAATATAAAAAAAAAAAAA